CACGGAAAAACTTTAGATTGTGCGTTTCGGAGCCGCCGATAATTTCCTAACGAAGCACAATTTCTGTCCCGTAATGTGGAATAGAAACAGTTAAACATTAAGGCGCGACTGTTTTGATGCCCATAGACCGAATTAATAACTGAAAAATATTACAATTTTTCGACAGAATAAAAGTGACATTTCATTGACCGATGGTTGGCAGTTACATGTTATTTCCCATTAAATCGATAGGATTTATATATATGTCCATTGTTCACCGTATGGCCTTTAATATATTACCTCATTAATGTCAGCCTTGTTGAAAACACAAATATTCTGGGAAATATTGGAACATCCAACCGCTGCATCTTCCTAATCAAAGTTTTAATATCCTTTTGTTATTATTTAAGAAATATATAATACCCACTGTAAAAAAATAAGGCCCATTAATTCCTAAGAATAACTATCGGATTTCCGTTAAACATTTAGAACCTCTTACGGGTTTCTGAACTCTAATTATATCGATGTTTTGACAATGATCTTCAGTAATGTTCGACTGTTTAAAAGCCAACGTCAATTCAGACAAAGCAAACTAAATAAAATTATGCGACTCTCCTGAAAATCTTTCATTGAGAGCAAAAATGAAAAAAATGAGGACAAGACTTTAATACAATTAATTAATGAATGGAACCTCACTTATCGGGCGTATTATATCTATAATTTATTACCTTTTCAACTGCTTATCGTAATAAGAGTACAAAATCGATAAAAAATGTATTACCTAATATTCTCCGACGTAAGAACTTGCGGGGAAGCTTTTACATCTCTCAACTATAATTTATATTTAAAAACCTTTACGGCAGTGAATTGCGAACATGTTATTTGAAGGCATTAAATAACGAATTCAATACGCCTCATTCAATTTTGGTGGGTGTCGGCAGCGAAAGCTGGCTTATAATAATCTATTAACTCAAATATATCGCTTATAAATCCAATTTCAATCAATTAGTAGCAATTGATGACGGGACTTGCAATTATCCGGCATTGTTCCAGTAGCTTACCTTCATATATAGGCGATCATGCCAGAAGAGAGGGATTCCGAATCCTCCATAGCAAGTAATCCTTCAATATATTTGGCTAAATTAATAGAATGCAGTAGCATGATCAATATATATAAAAATTTACTTAGAATATCCATGAAACATAACATGAACATAAAATCTATGAAGAAAAATTCCTGAATTTATGTTTAAAAACTTCTTCTCTCGCAGCCAATTTTCAAGTCTCATCGCACTAATTCTGAAAACAATACAAGAAAACATGAACCAAATTCAACTTTCATCGCATTATTTCTTTGACATCGTATTTATAGGAAAAGTAAATATAGTCCTCATCAGCCGACTCTTGGGCAACATATGAGCTTTTGAGAATATTATTTAGTTACAATTTACAATATTCGTACAACTGAACGAGATGAAGAAACACATTTTAGAAACAAAATTTTATTAAAACAGAATATTTCCGATCAAATGTTCTTCTAATCAGCATTGTCGCCAAGATTAATTCTGTGCTTTTTATAAAATTTCTCGGTAAAAGTAAAAACTTGGTCGTAATTCAAAAATTTTCTGGAGAAAAAGCGATTATTAATTGAATTATGCGCAGCGAATGTTTTAAGATCATCAGCGTTCAATGGAACATCAACAGACGCGTCTGGAACGTTCATAATTAATTCTCTTGGACCGCGTGCATGCAAATCTTTATATCGGGATTTCTTTCGCTTGCTATTTAAGACATTGAATAATCTCTGTTGTAAGTCATTTCCGCATGATAATATTAAATAATTGATGTAGAAAGGTAATACAGTACCAACAGTTTCTAAAATGAAGTTTATATCAAAATATTAGCCAGACAAAAATTATCGATTTTATTATAAATATTATCCTACTGCTAATTGAGTCGTGAATTTCGTCCATTGGTTATAAATTATCGATAAAAATTGAAAAGTCAGTAGATGAGCAGTTGCACTGTCCTAAAAGGGACACACAGAGGAATTTTATTATTATTATTATTTATTAATTATTAATAATAATAATTATTATTATTATTTATTAATTAAAAATAATAATAATAATAATAATTATTATTATTATTATTATTGTTATCTCTGATCAGCGGCCTCCGAACAGCGACCTTATCTCATATTACCCATAGGACGCCTGCAAGTCACCGATGTTTAAGTGATGGCTCTGTACGTTCATTAGACACATGAGTTGAAGACACGGGACGCCTGTCGGAGACCACCACTGCCGTGCTTCGAATGGACTATCATGATCCCTTCCCTCAAGAACGTAGCCAAAATAATTCTTGACTGTAACATTTTTAGCCGCACGCCACCAGACAGATCACATCCAGTAAATTAGATCAATCAGACCACCAGGAAGTAGCCTGACTTAGAATGACCCAGCATCGTCTGCCAATACGCAAAAAAATTTTGCACCACCCGGACAGAGCGCGCCGGAACCTTGCAGTGATTGTGATGCCCGCCACCGACCCGTCCGTGTCTGTCCCGTGTGTCGAATCAGCCTACGGTCGACCGGCCAGAGGCCGTCAGTAACCAGTCATGGGCTGGTTACTGACGGCAGGCTTAATTGGCGGTTGATTGGTGGGCATCCGGAAATATGCTAAGCGTTCCATTCAGGGCTGATTGGTGTACAAAATTAGGGATGTACGGCTGCTCTCCCGAAGACACACGTCATGCATGTTATGTTTATAAGTCATGCATGATATGTTATATTTATGTTAGCCTGACACGTCATTTCGCGTGTTGTTGTTGTTGCTGTAAGGCCTTAATGGAATAATTTCACGCTAATTACATTTGAGGAATTTAGTGACCCAAATCAATTAGGAGGCGTCTGTTTTGGCGTGAAATTTCTCAGTAACCGGAAAATTCTTTCACGCCGCGTAGAATTAAATAGTGGACAATAGAATGGAATTTAGCGATCGAATTATTCAAAAAGCTGTTACGGAAGGCTAATAATTATATATATATTATTTAATGTAAATTAGATATTTTCCTTTTTTATGGAAATTAAAAAAAATGCCTATGGTGACTTTCATTAGCAGCCCCATATAAAAGAAAACCTGTGATCGGCAGCCAGCCACACATTCAGTGCTGAGCAACTGTTCCCTTTTCTCCTAAAATTTTCAGTAGGGTAGCCGGTAAATGGCAGGAGCGGAGGTTTGCTGTCGAGAAAGTTAGTTATTTTAATGGCCACCAACTAAGCAAGGACCAAAGTTTGCATTTGATGAAGTTTTGATGATTAGGAATAATTTATCTGAGGCTCATTAGCTTCAGGAACTCTACTAGGCTCTGTTATTTTAAACTATTTCTGATCGCTTCAACATAAGCCTGGTGATTAGCCCTGTGAGAACTGATACCAACTTTAACAACATAAATCATATTTAACAAGATATCATGTAACTGGGAAATAAATTTCGTGTTTCAAAATATTTACCTAATATGCTGAGCATGTTTTTGTAAAAATTTCGAGTAAAAATTTTCTCGTGTAGCCACTCAAAATAATCTAATTTATAATAGTGTTAAAATTATTTTCCTAACAGGCAATGCCGTTTATTATTTCAACTTTCAACTTTCGGTCATGTTTTTATCTGAGCTTCTATTTTACCGGAATTTCCACTAATTCAAAACTTCAGAAAATGAATTTTTCAAATAAATAGATATTCATGTCACACTCAACGAACTGAATTTGCATAATCGAGTCTGAGTGAGAAATGCAAGGGAATGTTGTGGGTCAGAATGTGGTGGCATATCAAAGGCGGAGCGACGATAAGCAAAACAGGCCGAGCTAATATGCGCGGCCTGCACAAATGCTTGACGTTTGCTTAGATAACAGCGCAGGCAGCTCGCGAGGCTGCGGCCGACGCTGTCTGTGATGCCGAGACCACCGAGGTGTGTCACTGGGGTTCGGGGACTGTACTCAGTGAAATAAGCGAGATTTGTCCCAATCGCGATGCACTTTGCCCTGCTATGAGTCATCATTTAACATTTGTCCCAATAGCGATAGATTTTTTGAGAGGGATTAAGGCGATTGAATGTCGTTGAGCTCTCTGAGCTACAGTCCCTTCCTTGTTGTTTGTTAATCATAAAATGGTTAAATAGCGAAAAATTTTTGTGTCATCGACAGCCCATGAAAATTTTAATACCCAAATTTATTTACACAGTAAAAGTTTCGAATTTTGTTCGTAACAAAGTTCGTATAACGTGAAACATATTTAAAGGCTTTAACATAGTTTATAAATGGAACGACACAAGCTGAAGTCGCTGCGATCTGCCGCTGTCGTCGATTTGCATAATCGTCGGCAGCTTCAACGGTGATTAACAGGGTTGGAGGAGGGTGATTTGGAGGAGGGTGATCACGATGGTGGTGGATGAGAGAGAATATTATTTTGGTGACTGATTAATGTGGTGGGGGATTATGGCAGTGATCATCTTGGTGGAGGGTATGATTGATTAAATGTATATGGTTGCGTTAACAGTGATTATTGTAGTGACAGGGATTTGTTTGGTTAAGGATTCTGGCAGTGATCATCTTTGCGGCAACAAGGATTGGTTATTATTGAGTAGATACAACTGATTATTGGAGTGACTGTGATTCATGTGGTGGGGATTACGACTATGAGGCTAGGATTGCAGACTATTCCGTACGATTGGGCTTTTTGTAGCAACTGAGATAAACGTGCACGGTAGATTATGGTAGCGATCATCGTAGCGTATAGATGAGAGGACTAAATGATTTTCGATGATTATAACATGATTGATGATGTCGTGGTGACAGCATGGTTAGTATTGTGATGTTGATTGCAGTACAGGATGGTTAGTGTATGATAGTTAAGAATCATTATGGCAGAGGAGGGCGAGAATAATCGTGATCCCGGTGATGATATTAGCAACATATATCAGTGATGATACTGACTGTCCGTACTTCTTTGTCTTGCAGTGCTGCTGATGTTGTTGGTGTCGTCCATCTGCCCTGCGGTGAACGGTGAGCAATTCGTATGTTATAATTTATTGTATGTATTCATTTGTATATAAAGTTTATTCATCCAAACATCAGCTATAATTAAACTAGTATTTTTAGCGTAAATTGTTGAGCTTAGAAATTTATAGGATATACAGTATATTGAAATACCAAGTTTATGCTACACGAAATAATACATTTGAATTGTTTGTCGTTTGTGAGTGAAGGTTTATATATTTTAGGAGTTTGCACGCTCCTGTCATTTAGGAAATGAAATGATTGTACACTAACAGAAAAACTGCTTATCACGCATTTAAGTATAAAAAAAATGGTAATAAGTAGTATAATGAAATAGGCAGTATTTGAATGCTCGTGTAAACAGATGAGATATTTATTTTTAAGTATTAAAAATAATTGATAGTAAGAGTTCTTCATAATTATTTACGCAAATCGAGATTGTTCCTCGTTTCTCGGTGTGCATTTCTACCTTAATTGGTAGATAATAATATTATAGGTATAATAATTTAATCGCTATATACCCTTCCATGTGCCCATCTTTATCCCCCCTTCCTTCCTCCACTCTGTCCCTTCTTCCTCTTCATCCCCTCTTCTTCCTACACCCTCTCCCCCTCCTCCTCCTCATCGTGCCTCCTTCCTTAACCCTCTCCCCTTCCTCCTCTTCTTCCTCCTCTTCTTCCTCCTCTTCATCCCCCTGTTCTTCCTCAACCCTCCCCCTCCCCCTCACTCGATGGGGTGGCGTCGCTTCCGTTTCGTCTGAGTTCGTCCGAGCGGAACAAGAGAAGCAAGACGTGCTAGACGCGATACTCGGCGAGACTGGCAACCCCACGCGATACTGGCAACCCCACGCGATACTGGCAACCCCACGCGATACTGGCAACCCCACGCGATAATGGCAACCCCAAGCGATACTGGCAACCCCACGCGATACTGGCAACCCCACGCGATACTGGCAACCCCACGCGATACTGGCAACCCCACGCGATACTGGCAACCCCACGCGATACTGGCAACCCCACGCGATACTGGCAACCCGACGCTATATTGGCAACCCCACGCGATACTGGCAACCCGACGCTATATTGGCAACCCCACGCGATACTGGCCACCCCACGCGATACTGGCAGCCCGACGCGATACTGGCAACCCCACGGGATACTGGCAACCCCACGCGATACTGGCAACATGATGCTATACTGGCAAGCCCACGCGATACTGGCAACCCCACGCGATACTGGTAACTCGACGCGATACTGGCAACCTGACGCGATACTGGCAACCTGACGCGATACTGTCAACCCCACGCGATATACGTGGCATATCCACGCGATACTGGCAATCCAACGCAATACTGGCAACCCGATGCGATACTGGCAACTTCACGGCGATACTGGCAACCCTACGCGAACAGGGAGCATGACGTGATAATCGGCTCTTTTAGCAACTCGTCGCTATACTCGGCAATACTGTCAACGCGTTACGATATTGTCGCTACTGGCAACACTCTGTTACACATGTATTGTGTTACAGCCAATATAATTCGAAAATTGGTTATACCATCTAAATGATGCAATAATTCATGATATTGTCAACACAATACTATCCACTAAACTGGCAACAAGAGGCAACACAAGGCGAAGTTAACATCAAGGCGCCATATTGGTTGATACAGGCAACAGGATGCGATACTCGACACACGATAGCTACTATTATTAGCAGCTGTCAACATTATGGCGATGCCTGCAAAATGACACTATACTTGCCTATATTGTGAACAGTTACAATAATAGACAACACTTGTAATACAATACAGAACCATGCAATATTGGTGTCCCAATTTTATACGAACTGAACTGCAACAAATCGCCGAAATATTTAAATCAATGTCCAAGCAACAATAAGATGATCTAGATGCGACATAATAGTTTGGAATTATTTAAGAATTCAGCACGCATTATTTAAACACTGAAAATACCTTATTTTCTGCCAATATTTCCAAAGTACTTACAGAGCTAACAAAACCTTATCGGTATCAGGGCCTTTTGATTTGCCTAGTGGAGTTCAGAGCACAGACACGCAGGCAGTCTGCGGCCACAAGCTTTAATTGCCGGCGCAGAAGTTCTCTCTTATTTTGCTCATAACGGCGCCAATCGTCCAGCTCACTTGGCTCGCTCTTATCTTTAAGCCTCAACTCTTCTAATAAGTTCAAAGAAGGCTATAGAAGTCCGCTCGATTGCCGTCCACAATCGAACCTTCGCTTTTTACTTTCTCGTGGGCAAGGCTGCCAGAAGCGCTTCAGGAAATCATAAAATGTGGGCTCAGTGCCATCGAAATATATTGAGAAAAAGTTGATAATTCTATTCTCAAATCAATCAAAAAATAACTTTTGATAACATTTCAATATTGTTAATTACTTGCTCGTATCCATGGGAATCATACCAAATAATTTAATTAGTGCTCAATGTTATATTAGTTACTTTGACACGTACGTCATTCATATAATTAATATTTACCTAGTCATTAATTCACACCACGAATAACTTCCCAATCCCAAGTAAAAATTATGATGGAGAAACTTAATAGTTATTTTTTTCACTTAATGATCTGTTAATGAGGCCCTTCAAGTTTCTTCACCCTTAATATGGTGTCCAATATGAGTGGTAATAATAATATGATAGCAGATATCTTAATTTGCAAATATATGTAAGATATCTCTTTAGATAGCAGATATCTTAATATGGTAGCGAATATCCATATATATACGAAGCCGTGTAGAAAATAATATGCTTCTTCACACCATCACACAGGTCAGTATGATGACTCTTACCTGGACCGGCCGCTCACCCTCGAGGAGCGATGTCGCTCTTTCTCTGAAGCTAATAAAGACTCGCAGGAATTCTACAGTCCAATGTACCCCAGCAAGTACCCCAACAACACCGACTGTACCCTCAACATTGAAGGTACGCCCTCTACCGTAGCGAATGTTATCCCGCGGAGGGATACATATTTCCAAAGTACCTACTGAGCAGACAAAACATTGTCGGTAATAGGACAGTTCATGGTGGGGTATGTAGAGGAATACATGGACATTGGTATGGAGGTGAAGATGGAGTTGTTCATGATGGGGCCCATGGAGGGGTACGTGGAGGGGTGCATGGAGGGGCGCATGGAGTGGTACATGAAGGAACCCAAGGAGAAGTACGTAGAGAGGTGCATGGAGAGATACATGGAGGGGTATATGAACGGGTACACGGAGGTTTAGGGGTGAACCACCCCGTGGGTTGGTGTTATGTAAGAGGTGTGCACCAAACTACATGAGCACCATAACTTATTACTCGATATGTTGCACAAGAGACCCAAATCTTCCATGCCCGTCATATTTATAAAAAATGAACTTGACTGAAATGTATACATATTCTGGTTTACCTTATATGTAGATTTCCTTGGTATTAAGTAAGTAGCAGTAGAGATATAGAATTGCTTTTTATGTATATGATGCTCCGAATGCAAGAGGAGAGGCTAATATATTCCTCCCCAGACGTAGTTAATATTGCAAATGACGATATTTTCCAGATCTGTGACAAACACACTCAGAACTATATATACATATCGTATACAAAGTTATAATATATTTCTTTTCTGTCCGTACATTTTCTCGTCTAGGATATTTCCGACTTCTGTGATTCAATTTTTTTTATTATCCCACGCAGCGGAATTTGGCTACATAATACGAGTAGATTTCCGCGACCATTTCGAGATCGAGCCTTCCGAGAACTGCGAGAACGACTTTCTGGAGATCAGAGACGGACAGCACGGCTACTCTGACCTCGTGGGGCGCTACTGCGGCTCTGACTTCCCGCCCATCATAACTTCCCAGGACCGGCATCTGTGGCTCCGGTTCCGCTCCGACGAGAGCCTCGAGTACAAAGGCTTCCGAGCTGTCTATGAATTCATCATGCAAGGTTAGATATAACTTAGTTTAAAGTTCGAAATTAATAACATGAACAATAAATAAGATGTAGAAGATTCTGAATAATCTATTCGAAAATAAATTAAAAGGAATGGCATGTATGACACCAGCCGCATGAAGAACGTGTCCCAGTAATCGTTCGTATTCGTATGCGGAGAAATGACAGCCCTATTAATGCATCAAGCATCATGGGAACCCAAACTCTGGCAAATGACACCACGACATTATTGCAAAGATAACTTGACATTATTCTAAAGATAACGCGACACCTTTCTAACACGAGATGCACGAGTCCAGATCATCAGTACCGTATACAATTAACCAGATTTTTAAAGGTTGTAGATAATGGAAGAAATTTTGGTTTCACGAAACCGACCATTTCGGAGGAGTCAGTCAACAGGATCTCGGTGTGCTCAAAAACGTAAAAAATCTTAGCTTTCCATTTTGTGCGGTACACGGGCTTAACCTGACATGTACAACATTCCATAGAATCAATAATTTGGCAGAAGCCACTCCTGAAGCATTAACTCGTCCCAGCTGCATTTTGACTAAATTGTATAGACGGGAGTTGGCCTGAAGATGCTAAATGATTAGCAAGACAAGTCGAATATTTTATATGGTTAATCGTCCGTCCTCTTAGGACCGAGGATTAGGCTCTGATTATGCTTGAGGCCCGAGGATAGTAGACATTGTTAGACATCTACAAATTTTGGACTACAAAGATGCAAATTAGGCATACTTATAATGATACATGAGTAAGCGAAATGGTTCTTTCCAAAATATATGAGATATTAATTGCTAAACAAAATTGATTAATCGTCTAATTTATCTGTTACCTAGAAAAGGAGTTTTTTTTTTCTTCAAACAGTAAAAAATATTACAAGGTAAAACTAATAACAATGGCAAGGAATTGGTTCACATTACGGAAAAAATCCGGTCTCCGAGAGGGCATAAAATAACTAAAAATTATGTCGCTGGAAACGTACAAATTTATTAGGATTTGGTGCCATTGAAGCACTCTTCAATAATATTTTATTTATATTCTAAACGTATCTAAATCATTTAATTTTTCAGAAATGGGTAGACCGGAAATCCCGCCTTGCAGTTTCGAGACCGGGGGCGTGGCTGGCGTGATTTCCAATGCAGAAATTCCTCAGTTTCGTTTCAATTATTCCTACACATACCGCATGCCTATAGACTGCACCTGGACCATCCGCGTGCAAGAGGGACACATGGTGAGTACTGTGCAGTACATTACTGGAATATCTGAATTGTATATAATAAATAAGAGCTTACCGTACGATTTTGTATTAAAAACCCTATTTAATTACCTCAATTAAAGTTGCTGGTTAAAAATCACGCGAAATTAAGATTTTTTAAATAAAAAATGCTTCGTGCGCAGCTTGAATCGGCAAAGTTTAAAATAAAATTATCCTTGTTAATGTATCACGTAATTATTCCGTATCCATAATTTCTGCGTTTCAGATTTACTTATTTTTCGAGGAGTTTGAGTTGCATCAGCCGAACGAGTGCGATGTGAATTTCGTGGATCTTTTCGGAGAAGCTCGAGATCTGCGATCGCGGTTGAAGCATTTCTGCGGATCCGTGGCAGACTCTGTGGTGACGACCACAAATGTGATGCACGTTCGCTTCTTCGCCGTGGGACAAGCAAGACACTCCAAGTTCAAGGCTTGGTTCACTTCCTTCAGGGAGAGAATCGTGGAAGGAGGTGCGTGGTGTGGACTGCTGGCAGGGCGAGAATTGTAGGAAGATTAGTGATATTTGTTTGAGACAAGTAGAGACAACGGAGTAACTATACTCATGGTTTATTTCTAGTTAAGAATGACTCAATATAACTGCATAAACATTATAGGCGCTTGAATATCCAATGAATGAGTTATCTCCACAATTGTATTAATTTTCTGGCATTTATTTATGTCAAATGGATATATTTTAGTCTCTGCAAAGGTTATTTTAATACAGGACTTTATCTAACTCTGGCTCCGTAATATGAAAGCCTTGTCGGTTGCTGCGACAAAAGTTTCGAATGGGAAATTTTATTGTGTGTTATTTTAAAGCAATTATTATCCTCATTGTGTCTGAGACATCCGGACTTGATATCATTTTATTTCAAGCGCCGATTTTTTGAGCCTGTTAATTGTTACAGTTTAAGGCTTGTCAAAATCCCCAATATATTAAGAACGATACAAAATAAGTCGAGCTGAGATACACCGTGGTATAATCAAAGCTTTAATTTACAGGGACTGTCCGAATCTCTTATAGTTCTTAATCTATTATTTTTCTTGTTATTTTTGTTTGAAAAAACAAGGCGACGCCATCGTCAGTTTTTACTGCTAGAATTTCTATGAACTGAAAACTGCTATTAGACGTTCAACTTATCTGAGAATCTAAATTGTCAATGATTTAATAGTCCTTTTGACGGTTAAGTGGAAACACAAGTCAAGTTTTAACGTTTCCATGGTCTGTCGTATTTAAATAATTACTGCTACTCAGGGCTAAATTACAAATACCACTAGCAGATAATCACGGAAAATCTACAATATTCTCCAAAGTTAACTGTACAGAATGTTTTCAAAAATCGATAAACAATCTTAATGCCATACTTTTTCTTTCATTCCGCGTTAAAATCTCTTTAAAATAAATTATCATAGAGCTAAATCGTACCTGAATTATGTTGAAAGCGATCTCACACCTCTTTAGGCAGAACTTAAATTCCATTAATTCATGCATAACCAAGAAGCATTGCGCTTATGACGCAGAGTCCGATGACCAGAACGTCTGTCGGCCGGACGAGTACGACTGCGACGACGCGACGTGCATCGATGCCTCGCTTGAGTGCAACGACATCAAGAACTGCAGGCACGAGTACGACGAGGAAGGCTGCAGTGTGAGTAATACTTTAGCCAAACATCGGTGCAACTACCATTCTTTTTACAGTACAATTGTTTCATGGTTCGTTTGAACCTCGGTTGCGTTCTAGTTATATTAATTTAGCATCTGCGTTCTGACTTAAGGTTGTGTCTCAACCACAAATTACTGCCACATTTATTGCGTGCTTTAAAAAAAGTATTGGGCAGATGCAAAAGAATCTAATCCCACTTTCGTCACAACACACGAGTTAAAAAACTACCTATATATTTAAGTGAATTTAAGTTAAAAACTTAAATAACCTTTCACTTCTCACGCTGCAATTTTATCTTCAAGAATGTCCGTTGAGTAGCACGATATTCGTGATTTCAGGACCTGAAGAAGCTGAAATTTGACATCACGTCTCAGCACATCATCATCATACTGACGATGGGTTGTGGACTGCTGGGCGGCATGTGCTTCGCCATGTGCTTCAACTGCGTCAGGAAACTCATCAGCGACGGCAGGCAAATTCAGGTGACGAAAAATAAAATCCGGCCTCGGAAGTAAAAAATTAACGGCACTCGCAGAAATAGGGAAAGGCCGAAAAATCTGGGTGCTGAACTTGCAAAAATATCGTCGAAGTTGGCAAAGATTAAATAACAAAATTACACAAAATTTAGAACTGTAAAGGTATGTCCATCAAAGTAGTGAATCTAGCATAATTTTTCAGTCAGGAAAAGGTTGGAAAGTGATTATGTACGCAAAAGTAGCTACAATTGCATTAAGAGCATTTTTTCCATACATTTTCTAGCAAGTAATATTTAATTTACATATATTAATGCTAAATATTCCGTGCTATGCATGGAATCACTTGATAACAACTCACTAACTTTTCAACCAGATCGACCTAAATTATCAACCTTAATTCTAAGTTCGAAGTTTTTGAACTTCGTGTCAACACCCGCAGGAGAATATAAGGAGATCTCGGGAGCAGCTGGAAGGAAGATCGCGCTCGATGACGTCAATTCCGTCGACGCCGACGACGGTGGTCACTCAGCAACGGCCGCCGACTATGCAGGACAACGATTACATGGCGACCGTCAAGCCGAACGGACGTGCGTGTCTTCCCGGGTCTTCGGAAGACAGCGAAGAAGACGAGGACCTAGACGATGAAATGGATGAACTTGAAGACGAAACAAGCGTTGAGATGAGAGACTGCGAGTGCCAAACTCGCGATTCTTTAAGCACCCAAAGGGATTCCCTCGGACAAAGAACTCCTCCTCCACCACCCCCTCCCACACGTCGGCCTCCGGGTGTTTCCTTAGCAATAAGTCCTGATCCTGTTCCCACTCCTCCCCCTCCTCCAGCTTCCCACTATGGTCGGACAGGTGTTCCCCAAGATCCCTACGCCGTGGAGTCCGATGATCCCTACAGATATAGATCCCACACTGTAATAAACGTGTCAGATAAAGTCAGTGGCAAGACTTCTAGAGCTGCCACCAAGTCTCCCAAGTCGACTCCAGACGTATTAGTGACTCACTGACTAGCGTGTTGCATAGAAACTACAGCCTCTAACTGAGAGATGCCAATTATCAAGCATTATGTTAATCATACATGTATTTGTCTGCTGTCCCACATTGAAATAGTGAAACAATTCCAGTCACCGAGATCGTAGTAGCGTATAATCAAAACAAATTACTAAGAAATTTTGCTTTCAAATAATTTATTCCAATAACGTCAATTTAATGAAGCGAGGTTTCAATTCGCACGTAATCCGCATATATCGTGAAATAGAGTAGTGACCTCAATTGGATTGAAAATTTATACTAGAGTGCGTTATCGAGAAAATTGTGGCCCATATGGTCTTGGTAAAAATAATATTTTCCAAGATAGGTACAATCTCCATAAACAGATAAGGCTTCACAAATAATGTTCCTCAGATTAGTGGTTTGAAACCATGACCATTGACGTGTGAGACCAAGGGGGTTAAACTCCCGATAAATTTTCTCACAATAATTGTTGGTTTCTTGAACGTTTGCGCACCTTATCGTTAAACCTCCTGTTGAAGTAAGAATTAATAAGGAATCATATTGATTCAATATTTACTTGAAAAATACATAGTGAATAGCTAAATATTTTGGCTCTATAGACAGTCTGAGGAAAAAATTGAAATTAATGACGAAAATTAATAATGTCTGAGATGAGTCCTCGAAAATTGTTCATATTCTAATTGACTCCTTTAAATATCAATAATAATTGAAAATATCTCAAACAAATTATCATGAAATTTCAACCTGGCAACTTCCACGTAGTCCAGGACACGGTGGAGTCTCATCAAAAGTGATCAAAACTCGATCTTCTAATTGGAAAATTTTAGTTGGTTACTTTGAGTTTTTTAACTTTCCTTTTTTTTTGAAAATTGTTCTTATTTCAAACGGCTTTTCATTTTGCGCCATTGTTGTAACGTGGGGCTGTAGCGAAAGTTTTTATGTCGGACATCATAAAGATTTATAGACCGATAAGCCCTTGAACTTTAATGCAGAAATTGTATCCAAGGAATGCATTCCTACAATCTGATTTTGAGGTCCTGTTAGTGTGGGTCTACCGCACTAAGTAGGCAGAGTGTTTTCACTTTACGGACTCACGTGTCTGGGGACGTAGCGCCTTGTTCGTCATCCTATTAGGATTCTCAATTGAGTGACTCCGTAATTTTGTCGCTGATCTGAATGAAATATCTGAACGCTGGTTTATTAGAGTAGTATGAAAATGTTATAATTATTATTTCCTATAGCAGCTGCATGTGAAAACTTGCTCGGCTTTGTGAAATAATTTTAACGCAAATAAGTGAGCAATAGAGTAATCACATAATAAAGGAAAGGTCTTTGTCATGTACTATGAAATAAACGGCACCGTGTTTGCACAATAATATTCATATGAATGTAGAGCGAAACTGCAAACAAAAGCTCAAAGTTATCATTTTGATACCAATTTTCTGTTTTTATACAATGGGAGATGTCAATTGTAACATTAAAATATTACAATCCTATTTTCCTCGAATAGTCAATGCTAGGAATATAGCTGTAGAAACTGAAGAAATTCATCTATATGGGCAGTTCGATGCAAAAATATTGCATTTAAGCGTGGGTGTTTTATGAAAAAATCGCTGTTTTATCTACTTACCTACGGTAAAGGTAAAACTCGAATGTTGTTATATTATTCTGTTGAACTTGCTCTAAGAAAATCTTTTTATTAATTAATATATAACGGACACTCTATCGGTTTGAAAAGTATGAAGGCAATGCTGCTAATGCCATACAACCCTTGTTCGTGTAGCTTCCAGGTTCGCATGAACTGTTAAACTAAATGTCTTCTGTTGTCGAGAGATAATTTAATAAAAATACAGAGAGACTAACTCCTAAAAAATATGTATGTAAATTTTTAGATATCTTCTATGTGTGTGCAAGTGGATCTTGACATTTAATAAACAATGAAATTTAAGGCTTACCCTTAAAATATGGAATAAACAAATGAAAGAAACCAAAATAACATGGCGTACGAAAGCCTAAAAAATTCAGTTCAGTAACAAAGGCATCTCTCAATATCACAAATTCTACTATCTCTTCAACAAATAAAAAAACACCGCCCCTATAACACGTACCAGCTCTTCACAGTCAAACACTACAATATCATAGGTTAACGCTATCGTACCGAACAAACTTACGAATCTTTGCAAAAATCATACAAAGGTGCACCATATTTGATATACAAACAATGTTCATGAAAACCAGTTAGAACATAATGAATAGGATTTATAATTATTTACCTGACCCTCTACAAAATAGTGGATATTTGTTCAATATTCCAGACCTGCAAACCTAATTTCTTCTCGTAAGGAGGCGAAAATTAGCATTAATGTTCTTATGACATACGAATTCATCATGGAATCTTTTCCTACTGCTGCCAAACGCCAAATTTTATTAATTTTTAAAATTACGTTATTTCATTAAGTATCAGACGTGGTCAACTGGTCATAGACAGAAATCTACGGTAATCAGCCTTAATATTTAATTTCTCTTTCAATAAACCCCTGTAAAATATTTAACATATTTTCTCGTGTTGATATCTCAGCTTTTTGACACTATAAAATATCAACTGCACAAGGCAAAGCAACTGAATATCTAAAATGTTGTGGCTGAAACGTAACCTTACTTTATATTAATCATTTCTTTATATGCTGGTGTAGAAGATCTACAATATTTGCAGCTTGACTTGTTATTTCAATCCTTACCATTACCTTAGACAAGCGTGAAATTTTAGTGCAATAGATTTTTACATGGAAAACCGGAGGATGTAAATTCTCATCAGAAAGTACAGAACATTGCGTATATATTTCCTGTATTAAAAGGTTTCTCGGAGTACATACATTGGTATGATTTTACATTGATTTATCATCATTGCCATTGGGCAAGTATTACGTCATTAGTGTTGATTGCTTTTCATATTAATATTATAAGCTGAATGATAGTCAATTGAAAGAGACATAAACTTACTTCACAATTAATATGTGTGATATATAAACTTACTTCACAATTAGGCGATTTGTGACAGACCAGTACGAATATCTATTCGGAATGATGTACGTACGTAATATTTATTCGGAATAACGTATGTATCCATAGATGTATTCAATCTCCTGAACAATTTAATCACTTGGCTAATCGAATTAGGCTCACTTGTTCAGTGACGTTTATGATTGAAATTAATGAAGAATTTTAATTACTAAACTAAACCAAATTAACTGCGATAGTTCTTTAAAATCTTCAAAAAGGATAAAAAAATTTTGTTGAGATATTTTCATCCCATCTGTGGCGACGCTGAAAGCCTCGAAGCTTTAAACTAAATCGGTTGCACTCAATGAATTTTAATAAGATCACGCAAGGTTAATCTCATTGAACTTACCACCTGCTTTCTTAAAATATCAGCTCCAAGTAAAGCATCCGAAAAATGTCTAAGGTAATTCCTAAATGCTATCAAGAAAACCAAACTATATTTTATGAAGAGCTTATGGCTTCAGCAGTTTCGTCAGATCTCATCTTCTGTAACATGAAACAACTCGTAAGTTAAGAGTTATTCTATTTTTATCAATCAGAAAATCTCAATTTCAAGCTAAAGCCGCTAAGAAACGCAATAATCTAAAGGCGCCGTAAAGTTGGTGTAAAGGTCAATGAATATCAATAAAGCAGAGCATTTTATTGCATTCTTTTAGTCTCAACAGGAGAAATAAAGCGTTAGCACCGAACACAGCAGAAAAGCTTGGAAATGGTGCCTAGCCTCAGAAAGTTCTACAGAAATAAGCAAGAAATAAGATACTTGACACAACTGCTTTCCTGTCACTCTCTGTAACTTCGCGCGCGGTGGTCGTTAAAAGGTTGACTATCGTCAGGAAAATATGCATTTGTGTTTGAAAGTTTAGGCAGTGATGATTGTCGGCTTCTTTAGGATACTTACAGTCAGCGTACCATGAATTCTTGAGGTCTCTAGATTAGAAACAACTAGAAATTGAAATTCACGAGCTGAGCGGGTTCAATAAATCCTAAAGACAACCTGTGTCCAAGACGAGTCCTTAATGTTCATCCCGATAGAAGGCAGTGCAAATGATTTCTCTTCCTAAATAGTTACGAGTCCAAATATTTGTAAAAGTTAATAAAGTAATTTACTAGAAAGTGCAAAAAATAGCACATTGGTACCGCAATAAATTAAGCTTTTATTTTTTATGTTAATGCTTCTTTTCAATCTTTCGTAAATAACTTCCCAAAGATTTTCAGAACTATTTTAGAAGTTTAGAGATTTAGCCTTTTTTGGGGGTGAAATCGATCCTCGATTCGAACTTTATCAATCCACGGCTCCCAATGTTTCAAGTATAGACACCAACATCTAAAATAACTAAACCACTCGTTAAGTCTTATCTCAATGAGCAGTTAGCGAGCGCCATTTGTTTGGCTCTTCAAGATGTTCATAACGCATTACTCTTGAAAAAAGACTGGTCTCTTAAATCTAAGAGCTAATACGTTATTACGTCTTCAAAACATGACCAGTTTAGATGCCGCGTAGTTCGTAAAGTTCTTGACGAGTGATGTTCTGAAGTCTTAGTCCCTGACGACGACAGGCCGCTGACCCACCACGTCCTGTAGCTGACGTGAGGCGAAGCAGGCGACGAGACGCCGCTCCCCTGCAGCGCGGGGCGTGAAGGTGTGCGTGTAGGAGAAGACTTCGTGCGGTCGCACCTCCCTGTTGAAAAAATAAGAGCATTAGTTACAACGGGTTGATAAAAATTAGATAACTTTAATTGATGGTTTGATTAACTCGCATGTAGTATCATCAGTTGCGGGACTTTCACTCTTTCGTAGATTTTGAACGGCATTTTTAGATGATATCACAAACACACGTCTTCCATCAGAGTTGCAATCGATAAGTTGCATTGCATATGCACAGCTAAGTCCAAGCCTTGTAGTAGGAAGGATTTTTTGAGCGTTTTGTAACAATTTCAGAAAATTGTTACAAAAATAGCTTTCGTGTTACATGAGTACGACATTGTGTAGCACACTCGCTCACCACAATAGAAAAAAATAATATACAAATACTAGTAAATTCATAAACAATACAAGCTAGAGAATGAGAAAGGATGAGAGAATATTTACCTATCGATGCGGATGGTGCGAGGGCGAACAGAGCCGGACACCTCCATGGTCAGGAAGCAGTCGGTGAGGGGCACGTCCAGTGGGTTAGTGAACGAGAACGTCGCCTCAGACTCTGATCCCACGCGAGGATCCGGCAACTGGCATCAAAACAACATGAAAAACATGAGTATTATACATGCGGAAGTTGCTTTCCGCTTCAAAATTTAGTTGGCTCTAGACCTGTAAATGAATCAAAATTGAAACGAGTAAATTCTGCCACATGGTCAGCGAGGGCTAACTTAAAAATTTGAAATTAGTTTTGAAATTTTCATCAATAAACACAAACATAAATCGAGAGCTACCTCCTCAACCACAATCGAGCGCTATCTCCTTGCAACTCACGTCAATATTGAGCCAAGGTTTGTTGAAGCGGAAATCGAATTCATCGATGAAGGACTGGCCGGTTTCCTGAACGAATGCAGTCACTGTGATCTTGACGAAGGACATATCGACGAGCTTGTCCATGTAGTCCCAGGGGTCGAGCGTGAGAGTGATTGTTTCTTGTTCGTTGGGAGACAGCGTCATCTGCGTGCTGGACCGCTTCAGGAAGGGGCCAAGCACGCCAGTGTAAAAACTGCTCCTGTATTTGCAAAATAAACTATGTACAGCATATCTTATTTCTGTATTATTTCTTCTATAGTATAATAGGAATCTCTTAAAATATTGAATCATTGTTTGTTTTTTCAAACGGATTTTTACATGACCTCGCATGCGTTTTATACTCTATATTCCGTTCTTCATAGAAACAATAATTATCGATGTCATGCCTTGTGCAAATGTTGGTCTGAATGTTCCTGGGCTCGGGTGAGTTATTGTGGATGACCACAGGAATGACAAATGGCTGCCCGACCATCACCCTCTCTGGAGCGTCCAATTCAAAGGACACGTCGAAGTTGCGTTGGTCGGACTCCTCAGGATTGAAGGGGCCCCATTTAAACGCGGCCGCCTGCATGTATTTGTAATGAGTTTAGATAGTTTGCCTAATGCTTGCATAGCGCCATCTTTCTTACTGCCCAAATACTAAATTATAGTATCAATTCAAACAAGTCAAATATTCAATAATCTAAAAAATTCAAACATTTTCTACTATTTTCTTGCCTGATACTCGAAGGGAGGTGAGTCCTGTCTGATGCCGCGGCAGGAGTTGAACACAGCGAACTTCTCGACGTCAGATCGTTCGTTGTCGCGGTAGACGTTCGTTAGATCATCGCAGTCGTTGTCACCGTCTTCATCGTAGCGGCCCACTGCCTTCGTAAGGATGTACCGACTCACTGGGTACCTGTTGAGAACATGTACTCAAAATAGTTGAAACACATCTGGATGTATGAAAGTCAGTAATTTCCAGGTTTCTCCCTTCGAGTAATACTCAGAGGTACCGTACATCCACAATGAACGACTGCCATTACATCTTGGCCGAAAAAATGCAGAATAACTCGCATGCATTATAACTTACTTTAATGCTCTAAGAATTAGCGCACCAAGTAGCAGCACTGATTGAATTTTGCAATGGAGCGCTGGGATCAGGTGTGTGGCATGTGGCAACAGATTTCCATATCGTGGCCATACAATTTGGTAACGTAAATAAATCAGACGCGAATTTTATGCCTAAAACATTCGCGAGATTTAATGTTCACCTGAACTGCCTGAAGGGAGAGAAGCCCCAGCCTGACTCCTCGTCCTCGTAGAAATATCTGACGTAGGAGTTGAGGGAGGCGTAGAAGGCGTCCACGTCGTCCCGCTGCCCCACCTCACCGCGGCGCAGAGCCTCGATGGGGCAAGGGCCGCACGAGCCCGAGAACACTGCGTCGGGGGCCATAGGACATGGGTGAATAAGTTAGGTCGTACGACCCTTGTTAAATTAGTTACTTCATACGGTGTGGAGAAAGTTATGTGTGTCATACGGCTATGAGTAAATTAGTTAGGTCATATGGCGACGAGTAAGTTAGCCACTTCAAATTGATAATTATAAATTTCAGTAATTCATGATTGAATATGATTTAATTGACTGGTTACATTAATTTCAATTTAGGTAAAGTATACAAACAACGCATATATGTATTTTCCCAGTCATTAATTCCACTACTCTATCATTGACACATCCAGTATTGATGGTGTAACTCACAGTCCCTGAAGTCCCTGTAAGTCCTGCAGGGGTCGGTGGCCTGCCAGCCGGAGTAGCCCTGCGGCTGGTCAGGCCGCGCCATCCAGACGTCCGTCCACGTGTGGAACGCCCATACCGCGTCGGGCTGGTCGCGCCCGGGGCCCTGCTCCAGCTGTCGCAGCCCACACAAATACTTACATTAATATTCCTGTACAAACTAACACAGCCCACGCAAAACATATCAGTCCTTCCTCCACCTAACACAGCCTACACCAATAACCAGATTAATCCCTGCTTCAGTTGACCCAACCCAACCAAGCACAATAATCCATGCTTCGGCTGACCTAGCCAATACAAATGGCTATTCCCGAATCTTCTATAAGTGCGTCGTTCAGCTAGAAATATATAAAAACTACAATTCCGGTCGGGGTACAGTAGCTACTTTGTCCACCGGTTTTGTGCTAAGAGGCGGACAACGGTCAAATTTCTACCATAACTTTTCTACCATAACACATTGCAATGAAAATAAAATTACTAAAAAGTCCTTTTCTAAATTGTAAGCACTCAATATTCCATATGCATTAATTTGTTTATGGGATGAGAATACAAATAATTAAGGCTCACGATGTCTCCGTATCTGTCGACATAGCGGTCGACGGTGAGAGAGTCCTGCGTGTCGACGGCGCTGACGAAGGCGGTGACGGGACGAGCAGGGAGACCAAGAGTGCGGCACACTGGCGGGTCATTGCATATATTTCTTTCATTAGGTGCTTGGTGGCATATCATATTTGTATCAGTTACATAAATGATATAATAAGATGAATTATTCAACGTTCGTTCAAGGCAGTCATATAATCATCAAACATATTAAAGCACACAGTCTGCTATATTTGTTTATTTCGCTTGGCACTAACTAAAGATGATATTGACAATTAGTTTCATGCAGCAGTTCTCACATGTGGTCATGAGGGCAGCCATTACCCAACACTGGGCATACTTGACAGGCGTCGCCCCGCCTCGCAAGAACTCCTCGATGATCTGCACAGACCCCGTCCAGAGGTGGGGGGTGTTGCCCCCCCTGTAGTCGTCCTCGAAGCGCGGCTCGATGAGCCCGTAGCTCGCGTAGTCCCAGAAGGAGTTCGACCTCTGGCCTGGTCGCGAGGCTTTGATCTGCAGCAGCGCGGGGCCGACGCACGACGAGGGACGGCAGAACGACAGAGTGGACGACAGACGGTAAAGATGGTGCCAATATCGTGGATGAGTTGGAGTTAATTTTGGAAGAGAGTAGAAAATATTCAACTGGAGGACAGTTCGGAAGTTTGCAAGGCATGGCGTGACGGAAGCGGAAAGAGGAAGGGAGTAGTTTGTATAAACAAGTTGAAAGACAAAAATCCTGAAAATACATGTACCTGCGTACAAAGAATTTAATCTATCAAGGTAGTGTATTTGTCTCGATTTTATTGATCGAGGTGCTTGTAGATAAACTTGTTTAGATTACGAGGAAAATAATGCAAACATATGGCATTCCTTTGTTTTATAATCTGTTTTGTTTGAAATAAATAACTAGACGTCTCACGAAAAAACTTTATTTATTTAAACAGGCGGACTTATCTCACCATGGACGCCAAGGCTCTCGCCACCTTGACTGGGTTGCCGCGCTCGGAGGGCGATAGTCCTGACATCTCGAGCAGCACGCAGGCCGCCGGCAAGACGCAGTCGTCGAACTGCCCGTAGATCCACGGACGTCCTCGGACGTTACGGAAGCCGCCCGTGTAGACTTTTCCGTTGTCGTTGATGACGTACTCGAGACGTTGGGCGTCGTTCTCCATGTAAACAGAGTCGTCTGCCAAAGAGATTAATTTTTGCGAATTGCACAAGATAGAGATTATATGCACAATTAACCCAAAGAGTGTAATTAATCAAATGAATTTAATTCTGGCATTATTCGTGGAAAAACTCATCACTTAGAGGACAAAGTAGATAAGGAATTGTTTATTTTTCGTAAATAGATTTTCTTAACTCGAAATAAAAGCAACATTTTGAATGATCAACAAAGTCAATCATAAGTTAATCATACAATTGCAATAACAAAATAATAATCATACAATTGTTATTTGCTCCACAAGTGAGCTAAAATGATAGAAACTCAACAGACCTTTGGAGAATGCGTTGAAGATGATGTAGATGTCTTCAGGGCATCTGTACTGGAGCCGCGCACTCGACGCGTCCCGAGTGGAGGTCTCGACCACGCAGCGCCACATGCCGACGGGGCACGTAGGAGGCACGTTCACCTGAGGCGCAAGTACTCAGCTTGAAAAAAGACTCATTGAAGTGTACTCACGGATTAATATTTGTAAAACTGTAGTAGAAATACGGAATAATTGCGACAATTGATTTAAATTTCTGAGGCGTGTACATGATTTTTGTCTTAGATCACCGATGCCTTCCGGAAAAACGTTTAGTTCATGTACCTGCATCCCGAAATTGAGGCCATCGTTTGTTCTGTGAAATACATACCTCAACGGTGACGTCGAGTCCTTCTTGGTTTTGGATTCGAGCGTCCCACTGATGAGGAACTCGTTGGAATTCCTGATCCGGACTGACACGAAGAACCACGCGCGTCCTCTTTGGCACAGATGGGTTCGGGCCGAAATAGAAGTTGAGGTACACATTATCCCTGCTCGGATCGTATTCCCGTTCCAGGAACCTCTGCACGGAGAAGATTATCGCTCATTGTGAGCACCTAAAATCTGGTATTGGTCCATTTTTGGGAGATCTTGTGATACATGCAAGTAGTAATATTACCTTCAGGTAATATTTTGATGTTGTTGCCACGCACGTTTTATACAGTATTAGTTATGAACGGTAATGAATAACCGTTGATTTCGATTGTTTAGTATTGTGTGACTTCGCTTACAAAATACTGAAAAGCCTTATGTTTCTAAAAGCCTTATGTTTCACATTTCTTACTAAATTAAGGAGGAAAGTTTGGCCTCTGCGGAAGACAGGCGTGGGCTGTTCGCGGTCCTGGACGAGTTCATACTCGAAGGTCCTGTGTTCTTTGGCGTTGTCGAGCGGTCGGAAGTCGACAAAATCGACACGCAGAACTTCAGGTGGCACGACAGCAAGGTTGTAAGCGTTGCCATTGGCTGTGACAAAAGACTTAGATCAAAATTTTAATTTCTTTTTTGCTGAGCGATTGAAACAATTAGATGTCAAAATATATTATACCTCAAGAAACGTAATTGAAGCAAGAAGCAATCGGCGAAAAATTGGTTCAAATTATTTACTTTCTCTCGAAATTACATTATTTTTAAATGCTGAAACGTAATCACTATTTGCGGTGCTAGATTAAATTAAAGTAAGACCCACCGCCTCTTTGGAGCCAGGTTGGGTTTTGTGAAGGATCGGCAGCTCGTTCGTAGTACCGGCGACGGAGGAGGTCGTAGGTGGCGCGCACGGCCAGCTCGCGAGACCTGTTGGTGCTGGTCCCGCCGTATCGCTCCTCGTCATTCCAAGTTAAAGCCTAGAAGCCATTCCGGACAACGTATAATTCATAATCAGTCATCACCATTAAAATTTTTAAGACTCAGTAATGAATAGAGTAATTAAAATGATCAAAATATCTATGGAATAAAAAAGTATTGATGGAAAATACTGCACTGAACTATTCATAAAACTAAATCTTGTTAAACAGACAACTCACGAGAGTGGCAGGGTAGTTTGACCGCGGCTCGGAGAAGGGAGGGATGGGAGGCGGCATTCTATCCCGCCCCATCTGAGTTCCGAACTGCCCACCTCCTTGGAATTTATTACTGCCCTGCATCTCGAACCGTCTTCCATCTCTTTCTCCGGACGGTCGTCCAGAGAAAGGTCTTGGAGAACTTCCCTTTCCTCGGAAGGAGGGCTCAAACCTCCTGTTGATGTTGCTGTCACCTTCGGTTCTGTATCGATCATCGACAAAGAAGCCATCACTCGCTGGTCTCTGATTCCACGTACGCCCGTAAAAATCCCGCCGGCCAGAGAATTGATCTCTTCGTTCTTGGTCCGATGGGCCGCCATCAGCGAATGTACCGCCCTGGTACCTGCTGCCTTGGTAAATGTCACCGCGACGGGCGTCGTCGAAGCGTCCGCTATCGAAGCGAACTCGGCCGGGCTGGTCGCGGCTGAAGCGATCTGCACTGAACAAACTCTGTCCGTAACGGCCGCTGCCGTACCTGTAACGGTCTGCGCCGGAAATGTAGCCCTCATCGTAGTTAGGACGTTCTAGTCCTGAACCGTAACGATCACGGCCGTAAGGAGAAACACCATTTTGGTAAGATCCGTAGCGACCTTGCCCGTAACGATCTCCTCCAAAACCAAAGCGATTGCCTCCGTAGCCGTAGCGGTCACCGCTGGAGCCGTAGCGATCAACACCGTATCCATATCGTTCTCCACCAGCCCCGTAACGATCTCCTCCTGTTGTGCTTCGATAGCCGCCGTAACCGTAACGGTCTCCAGCCCCATACCCACCAAGCCTATCGCCGCCAAAACGGTCTCTTCCGTAACCGTAGCGAACTGAACCTTGACCGTAGCGATCACCACCTTGGAAATAGCGATCTCCACCTTGGCCGTAGCGTTCGCCCCCTTGGCCGAAGCGGTCTCCACCCTGGCCATAACGCGTGTCTCCATAACCATAACGTCCACTGCCGTAGTCGTATCGACCGTAACTGACGGCTTCGCGGTTGTTGCGGCTGCTCCCATAGCCGTACCTGTCTACCCCATATCCAGAGCGACCACTACCATAACCGAAGCGATCGTGGCCGTAGCCGTCTCCGCTGGAAGCAGCACCGTAACGGTCGGCACCAAAGCGATCACCGAAACGGTCTCCTCCATAGCCATATCTGTCAGAGCCGTAGCGGTCTCCTCCGTAGCCATATCTATCAGAGCCGTAGCGGTCTCCACCGTAGTCGTATTTGTCTGGGCCGTAGCGGTCACCGTCGTAACGGTCACCAGCAGAGCGAGCTCTGTAGCGTTCTAGGCTTCCTCCAGACCGGGTACGGTCATAACGATCCCGGCCGTACTCGCGGTTGCCGCCAGAAACGCTTCGGAATCCCCTAGAGTGGCCGTCTCGATTGTCGCGTGTAGGGCTTCGGCCGTACCGATAGTCAGGGTACTGCGTCACACGGCCGGCAGATTGGCTACGTCCGTAGTAACCGTCACCTTCATCATAGCCGAATCCGGCCCTTGCGGATTGATCTCCATAACCGCGGAAACCAGCGGAATCGCCGTAACGACCGCTGCTGTAACGGCTGCGGCCGTAGTAGCCGCCGTCGCGCTGACCGTCATCAAAACCGAAACGACTCATTCTGAGGGCACAGAGGGAACGCCTGAGGCTGGTTAAGCCGCCACGACTCTTCATTCTTAGGGTGCGGGGCTCTTAGAGTTAAGCTTGTGCTTGCCTCAGCCTAAAGCTGGTTAAGGGAAAATAGGGAAATAGATCGAAGTTAAAGCTAATGCGAATGCCTCAAGTAATCTTAGAAAATTCAGGGCTATTTGCATGTGGGTTTGTGGCGCTGCCAATATTAACTATTACGAGTACTCACCTGGCTAGCCCTCACAATGATTATAATTATTGTTCTTGTTTTTCGATTTGACAATGATTTAAAATTTCAGGTTTGCATTTAATTATCTTTTGATGGTTAAAAATATAATTTTGACGTTAGTATAAAATATATAATAGATTTAATAACAGGATTATTATTTATATTCAATTTTTACCAGACTAGGTAACTCGAAACGCTCCTGGGCGTCCATGATAAAGGTTTTCGAGAGGTATTAATTTCCAATTAATTTCAGAAACTATTATTAAATGGCGTCAAAAATTTAGAAATTATTATCTATTATCTAATTATCTGCCACTGGCATATTATTTCCGAAACTCACTTGATTGATTTAAGAATGGAAGCAACGCCAAACTTTGGCATGAAATCTTCTGAACGATGGCTGAGGCAGCGACCTTAGGCTAAAATGAGCCATCAATGGATTAACACAGAAGAAAAATATTCAGAAAAAAGTAACGAAAGACATGCATGGTTATTTGAATAAAAATACTATATTAGAGATGAATAATTGCTGAAAACTTCTAAAGACGCAGAATTTCAAAGCCATTTAAATTGCCATTAATTTCATTAGCGAATTCAGTTGAATTTTCGTTTGATTTTCTTCGCCTATATTTTTGGGGGACTCGATATGCAAATAAACTAATAATTGGAATAAATTTATATTATTATGCAGTATAACTCAGATTTTAATTTTGTTAGGGGTTGTTATCTCATTTTCGGTTGCCGTTAAAAAATGAAAACAAAATTACAAGAAAGTTACAGGTATTAACGAAAAAAATTTAAACTTAGATAAATATCCAATTTGCATCACAAGGACCATCTAAAGTTTGTGGTTGAGACTTTCTGGTGAAGACCGGAGTTTCACTCCGAACAGTTTATTCACCCCAGCCAAAATATCTATTCTCTGTGCTATTCTATTCACTTTACTCAGAATAGTCCTTAGCCTATAAACTGTTCCTGATAACTGCTTCAACCTTGCGTGGCTACAAGTTTTATGCCTTCACATATTCATAGTTAAATTGTCCGAATTTAAAAATCATACAAATGTAATGTATTTAACCTAAATTCCCGTCTTAAATTGAGCATTTAGAACCTCACCTTTCACAGGTAGCAGTGGGATGCTTTGCTAGGCAGAGGACCCGAGCGTGTGGTGCTGCTGACGAAGGAGCGCCGGCTTATAAGGGCACCGCGGGCCACGCTAGGGCGGCCACGGCAACTTGAGCGCGTCAGCGATACGCTGGCGGCAGCTCAGCACGCTTCGGTTGAGCAACATTACACTCAAATACCAAAAAAATCCACTTGAATTGCGAAAAAGTTTCTGATAAGTCAAATTATGGAAATATGACAACAAACTTGTTAGAATTAAAATCCAGACTTGTGGAAGGACTTCATCCCCGAAAATTATCGAACCAAACATAAGGCAACGATTAATAAATAATTAAATTACACATAATAGAAGTATATTTCAATAGTGTTATCCTATATAAAGAGTACATGGATAGCAATCTTTCCTTTAATGCAGTCATTAGCTTTTGCTTGTAAAAAAATGGCTGCTGTTAATTCACCTTCTGATAGATATTTAAGGGCTACCGGGGCTGGTGTTGCCGGGGCTGGTGTTGCCTCGGCTGGTGTTTCCTCGGCTGGTGTTGCCGGGGCTGGTGTTGCCGGGGCTGGTGTTGTTATGGCTGGTGTTGCCGGGACTGGTGTTGCCTCGGCTGGTGTTGCCGGGGCTGGTGTTGTTATGGCTGATGTTGCCGGGGCTGGTGTTGCCTCGGCTGGTGTTGCCGGGGCTGGTGCTGTTATGGCTGGTGTTGCCGGGGCTGGTGTTGCAGGGGCTGGTGTTGCCGGGGCTGGTGTTGTCGGGGCTGGTGTTGTTATGGCTGGTGTTGCCGGGGCTGGTGTTTGTTAGGGGTTGTTATCTCGTTTTCGGTTGTTATCGCTGGGTGCCGTTAAAAAAAGTGAAAACAAAATGGCCAGACACAAAACAAAAACACCAGCCCCGGTGTTGCCGGGGCTGGTGTTGCCGGGGCTGGTGTTGCCGGGGCTGGTGTTGCCGGGGCTGGTGTTGCCGGGGCTGCAGGGATCCACAGCCTTCCAATAATCAAGGCAGGAAATTATTGTTCGACGCCTTCAGGTTTTTCTACCTTCAGAGGCTGTGGCCAGAAATGTGTTCATGCGGCGAACTATTTCTGAGTGGTCACATTTTTCTGAATTTCTGGAGATATACTTTCAGTTTTTATTACGGTGCGCAAACGACCTCCGGATAAGATGCCGGGGAACTTCAATATGAAAAGTTTTCAGGCGAAAATTGACAGAAAATATATTGTATTATTATAAATGAAGGGTTAACATGTTCTTCAGGAATAAAAAAATATAAACATTTTTCGTTTAATTCTTCTTCAACGTGACTTACATGCCGCATTTCTCAGAAACAATAGAAAATCGTTGTCGCTTGCCGTTGCACTTAATCGTTTTAGAAAAAATATGATACAAGTTTGAATGGTCAAACAAATATAGCATAGTGTTAAAGACGATCAAAATCAATGGTAATAATCATTAATTTTAGATTTTCATCTCAATTTGGTCTCATTAACATTTTAATAAACAAGCTGAATACCATACACAAATGACTCACAGCGTTGCATATTAGCAACACACGTGTTTAGCAACGCGTCTCAGGTAAGAAGCTCGTTGTCATGCGAACCTGTTACTGCCTTGTCTAGCGTAACTTAGTAGCGTGACGAATACGATCCGTGAGGCCTGCCTTGTTTTTGATGTTGGTATGAGTCATTTATGAAATTATAGTTTAAATTAATGGTTCCATCATGCATATGAATACCATTTGAGTAGTCATCAGACTAAAAGCTAAGGGAATAAACAGCTTTTTTTCTTACATAGTTTAATTTTTAAATAATCTTAAAAATTGCCCGACATGTTTCTGTGGGCACTGTATCTGCTCAGAAAAATATATGTGTTATAGTGTCTAAATGGTGTCACACTTCTTATACCTACCGCACATTGCGGACAAACGCCATAAGTTGACTTTTTTTAATCTCACTCACTTCTTTGAGTGGAAGCTAACCTCAAAACCACGCGATATCTATACAAGATCGGACAGGGCGGCATAAATTGTAACTGCTTAAATTCGATTTCCAGATCCTCACAAAAAACTATCAGATTATGGCCAGCTCTTAATTCATGCTCTGTAGTTTAAATACACTTCACCGCTTTGGGTTGGACACCTGCTGGGTATATTTTGTCTTACTTCTACTTGTAGTTACTTTTTGAGTTATTCTGTCACGACCTGGCGTGATGAAAGTGGCTGTTGTTGCCGGGGCTGGATGCTCCCCTGACTCTACTCGAAGCAAAACCCAAAAACAAGTTAAAACTTGTAGTTCTCTCAAACTTTTAATACAAATATATCATTTTTTGCAAATTCATTTTCGAAACTAAAAACGAACCATTTTTCTCGCTGAACGGTAGATGCTACTAAGCCTCTTCTTGAGGTATGAAACTTTTACAGCTCAATGCCGTCATGTCGATGCTTCACCTAATCTGAGCTGAGGTCTATAATACTAGAACTTTGACACTGACAAACTTTAATACGTCACTTACACAGAATGAGTTAAACAGACTGTGATCAATTAACCCATCAGAATTGGTGAAACAAACTGTAACCATTCAATATCCACTGGATAAGTGAGACCAACTTTTGTCGGTCAACTCCAGAGGATTGGTGAAAAACCATAATCGTATAGAATTAATGGGATAAACTTTAAACGGTCAACCAAACAAGATGGGTGAAACGAACTGTAATCAGTCAACGCAAGTGGATGGATGGGACAAAGTTTCATCGGTCAATTCCACAAGATCACAGAGTGAATTAGATCATCTAAATTGGAACAGTGAATTGCGAGTTCGAGACTCGCAGCTAGCTGCAAAATTCTGCGATGCCTAATATCGGCGACAGGCAAAACAAAGCAAACTCTTCGTCACCAATACCATTTAATTATGAACTAAATGGCAATTTTTTGCGACAAATCTGTAAACCATTAACAAAATTATTATTTTCTAATTGTTTCGCGGAACTGTGATTAAAAGTTGCAGTAATTTTAAGTTATATTTCGGACATTACTCGTACGTTGGAACGCTGCTGTCCGATACATAATGGGGCTAAATATAGTGTCTTGCAAAAGCCTGAGTAATGGAAAATAAATTAGTTTACGTTGAATTTTTTATTGTTTATTACAATGAAATAGTGTTTATTTGAGCACCAATTTCGTTAAGGTTCTCTCGGATAGGTTAATAGTTAGACCAAACTTCATTTACAAACATCTTTCTTCCAAATATATCCCCAGCAATACTTTAGATAAAAACTCAACCTTTTCACTAAGAACTGTGAAAATGCCTGAATTAACTGCATTGCGTTGGCAATTCATCGTAAGATTATGATGAATTTCTAGCAACCGTACAACTCCAGCAGGCATTACATTGAGTCAACATGATTGTGAAGAAAACATGGGCATCGAGCTCAGCATTAATTGAGAAAATTGTAACGATGTACAAGGAAGAAGCAATGTGTACTCTGTTAGTTTCATGCAATAATCTTTCTTTATTGATTATAATTACTCTTTCAAAATATATCCAACTAGTTATTAGCTTTGATAATTCAGGACTTATCGTATTTGCAATATTTAAGCATTATATTATATATTATATGATATTATTCGGTGCCCATTACTTGGAGCCTGAAACTGAACAGTGATTGTCATCACAAATTCTATTAATTTAAACGAGTCTTAGAACATTAATTTATGAAATTCGGTCAATATAAATGTTTGTATTGTACATGCTGAGTAATTTTTCGAACGAAATCTAGCTAGTTGCCACTTACAAAAATGAATCTAGACGCTATTCAATAATAAGATTCTTGAATTGTATAAATGACGGAACATTGATATAAAAAACTTTATACGGTTCTAATCGAAATGTGAATTGAGTTGAATTCAGTTTCATTATCTCAGAAAAAAAAACAAGGGGATTGTGTCGTTTAGACGAAAATTCGCGGCGACACATCAATAGTTAGTCTAAATATGTACACTCAGCTGCGCTTCGTAACAAGATTAACCGTCAAATATTCTACGGCTTTTAAGGGAGAATAAAAACTGTGCGCCGAGCGACCACAATTTCAGGGTAGCGTGGCAGCATGAACACTCGGCTCACTTGGCCAGGAAGACGTTGATGGAGCACAAACGGCTGGCAGTTAGATTGGACAATAACATACAACTTGTACGAAGGATTCATTTTGACGCATTTTCGAAAAAAAACAAATATCAATAAAAAAGATAAACTAGAGAAAAAAAACTTTGTAAAATTCAAGCTCCTTAAATAAAATTCTACCCTGGAGCGGCAATTGTGTTTCTAAGATATTAGCAGCTAAGACATTATTTTAAATATAAAAGAAGACATCCAGTGTCCTCTCAATGACAAAAGCTGCGCACAACGCAAGAAATTATGTTGAAAAGAAGTAAAATTTTAATTAACAGCCTTCGATAATCACGCAAATTCTGTTTACAGCGAATCATTCTCAAATCTTACAACCTAAAAATTACTTTTCGAAATCCACATTATTGTATACGACCTTGCATCTAACAGAGGAAAGGCAACGAAATAAAAAAAAAGCAATGTCTTCTTAATCTTACCGAATTAAAAATTTAACTACTCACTGCTATCAGAAAATCCACATTGCACCTCATTAAGCATCGCGCATGATGATGAGAATGATCTTCATGATGGACGGCATTGCAAGGCACTTAGTACGCATGTTGTCCATGGTATTTATGCTATTAATACGAAAAATACATACCCGAGTTACGAAATAATAAGTTAGTTGTATCGAGATGAAATTGCATAAATTTCAGACGGTGAAAATTGAATTTCAAGAAAGCCATATTGAATATCCAAGCTTATTTTTAATCATTTCAAATTTAATCTATTAATTATTATTTCGTGAAATTTAAAGTTTGAGAGCAATAATTTAGTAATTGTGAGTTTTAGACCCGCAACGACAGTTTGGCGCTAAACACACGAGAAAGACTAAAAAGATCTTATGCTCACCAGTCAGATAATTCTGTATAATAACATAAATATTATATCCATTTACAATGATAATGCAATTCAAAATTAATTAAAACACAACTGATTTCTGGGATTCTGTTTTAAAATATTTTTTTTTACAAATTAGCCTGCGAGTTCATTTTATGCAGAGCACAGGCTTGCTAATTGCTTCTGAATTCTTCTTCACGTGCGCTGTAATAGGGAATTCTTGAATGATAACTAATTAGATTTTTGGTTAGCCTAACGTGCTGATCGCTCGTCTAAACATTTTCAAGAAGATTTAAAACAGCGGATTCTACATATAAAGTCATTAACTTGCGTCTTAATTTACTAAAAGAACTCGAAACAATAACTGAACGATATTCAAGCGTGTAAATATTGTACTCCCTTGGCTAACATTGGGGTTACAATATTTAGATTTATATAAAAAAACTCCATCGTTTCGAACAGAGACAGACATAAATAATTCAAACAAGTTCTGTGATTAACGTGGCTCCAAACGAGACTCTTCGTTGTGGTCTATGGGTTCCTCTTGAGGACAGACCCTGAGAAAGACGAGTTGGGGTGCGAGTCTTTCCAGTCTCTGTAGAGGAAGAAAGACCCCAGCGTGTACGCCAGCATGTTGAACACTCCGAACACCTGCGAAATAAGGCAATGTCAGGTGAACAATTCCATGAGCTTCCAAGAAATTGTTTTAAACTTATAAAAATTGCACGTTTTTATTTACTATGCTTGAAGTTTAGACATGATTTTAAACTCCTCTCATTGAAGGACTAGGCTAGATAATCCATCAGTTTAATTATATCGCAGAGGAAATGCTAATTTCCGTGCTTGGAGCAGTTCTATTGAACAGTAAATATTCTGAATACCTAAGGTGTAAACACAATATTAAAATATAGACACAACTAACCTTGAATGCCCACGAACATGATCCATTGATGCATATCGATACAGAGACATGTCGCTAAAAAGACTATAAGAAAAAGTCTTACTTCCTAACTGAGAGAAAACTTTTTCTTGCGTGAGCTGTTCTGCTTGTTTCTTACTATTCATATGTGTAAAAATTTACGCTACAGAATAATATTCCGATCCGATGCTGAAGAGCATAGTAATAATGAACGAATTAATAGGCGTCATACTGTTCAATTGAACTAACCAATCCAGACAACCATGGAGGGAGGGGAAAATGCAGAAAACTGTTTGCGAGTTCGAAAATTCAACGATGATCTTAGTAAGGAAAGATGCTAGGGAGATGAATCTAGGGCAGATCAGCGGCGTCTCCCTACAACGCGTCTGCGGGCGCTGTTGCCAAGGCAGCGAGTTTTATTTTTGCACCAAGAACAGTGACAGTTGCATGAAATTTCGCCCTTAAACGCACTAATAAAATATCTACCAACCGTCTATTAAAGAATAATAAAATTATAGCTTTGATAGAATGTCCTTTCTACCAAGAATTTTCGATGAGCTGTTCCACATTCAAACTAATTTCATGTTAAGTTGAGGTTGATTTGTCATTATAATGAAATCATAAAGCATGTGCTCAGGCGATAATATAATGCTTATGATATCGTACACAGAAACGAGGTAACCACTTGAGCGTAGCGCTTAAAATAAAGTTACCTTCGTTCCCCAACTTTCAGGTACGTGAATGAAACAACCATCAGCAATATATGCAGTGAAGCGCACATTATTTGGTAATGTACGAGTATATCAGAGCAGACAGTGAGTTGGCAGAAATGAGACAGCGTCCATCAACGTTAAATTTTCTTAAAGGAATGCCGTGAGAAATTAGGAACTATAGCCTGGGCCCCATCACCTTACATAAGCACCATCACCCTCCTACCAGCCGATTGGTGCCTGCTCGTGACGCGCTCGGGATTTAATTTCAATAATCAATTCAGACTACTCTATCGATGATGGCGCACTGGTCTATTCGAGCAGTGATGCTATTCCAGCGTACATCGACTGTTAACTCGGGAAATGATTTTTAAAAGTTTTGATTGATCTATTGATCTTACCCCTGCAGTAATGTTGCGTCCAGCGCTCCTCTCGATGCTGCAGAACTGAACTATGACGGCAATGAGGTACAGTATGGTGGTCAGGGAAGTGTTTAGTAACTCCTGTAACGAGAATAGTACTAGCGACGTTGGGTCGTTTCTATTGCATTTCAGAGATGTCAAGCTCATCGGCGATATTTTTTCTTATAGATTTTGAGGAAAATTTGTTTGTGTTGTCATGTCGTTTAGTCAGTTTGTGCGTCTTTTGTGGAATGTCATTCTTCAAATAAAGAGCAGTACTTTAGTGGAGGGATAGACCCCGAGATGATAAGAGAGAGTTGACTGTGCAAAAGTTAGAGGAGGTTGAGATAAAACGATGATGATGGTTAAGGATAAATGTTGGTTACTTTTGTCATTAGGTTTTAGGATCAAATTAGTCTATTCAGAAGTCACGGTTGTGTCTTAGTGTTGTTATTTTTGTTCGGTTTAGTACTACGAACATGGAATACCGTGAAATCTATCTCATAGATTTTTTCACGAAATCGCCCAAAAAGTAGATGAAGATGATACAGGGTACTGACTAAAACCCGGACCCGGACCGGTCCGCCGGACCCGGACCGAGTGACTAAAACCCGGACCCGGACCGGTCCGGCGGACCAGGTTAAAAAAAATAAAAAAGTTCACTTCTCGATCGAACTAATCGATAGAGAATCTTCTGAAACGTCCAGAAAACATAAAAAGTTGGTATCGAATTTTCGAAAATTTACTTTGAAAAATTTCACTTCAGGTCCGGGGAGCCCCGGACCAAGTGACTAAAACCCGGACCCATATATTCGAGTCACAGAAAAGTTTACTTCTCGATCGAACTAATCGATAGAGAATGTTATGAAACGTCCAGGGAATATAAAACATTTATAGCAAATTTTGCGTCCTTTTACTTTATGAAATTTCATGTCTGATTTTGGGAACTCCATACAAAGTGATTAAAACTAGACCCTAACTAGTGAAAAATAAGTATCGCTTCACTTATCGTTAAATAGGTGTCGCTAGGAATCAATTGCAGAATAAAATATTTGTTTTGTAATCTGAATACGTTTTAAGTAATAAGCTCTCAGCAAACATGTCGAATTTTAGGTAAACGTTTGCAAACGCTTATGCTGTAGGGTAGAAATTGCCTGAACTCAGATATTATTCGCGAACGATACTCAGCTTTTAATGCATCAACTTCAAGACGAATTCCACTCTTTTGAATGCCACTGATCTCACAGTATTAGCTTTGTACGAACGAACATGTCGATGTCGGAAATTGCTGTTTTGACTCGAACAAGACTGATGGCTGCAGCAAACGTTGCCGGTTAGAAAATGGATATAATGACGGTCAGAATAATGAAATGCCGGTCAGAAATGCATTATAATATGATACTTCCATGTCGATATACGTAACTCTACATAAGATTTCAATTTGTCTTGTATTTATTTATATTTAAAATTTCCCAGTTGTCTTCGTCTTGTTTACTGTTGTCATGGCAAATATGAACGATAAATAATTAGCAACGTAAAACGTTCTATTAATTTTGGACGTATTCTCACTATTATTAAATATTCTCAGGAATGTTACCACCTCATGCTTACTGTGTTCCCCGCACTCAACCACAAGATTGATTTATGACACAAGCTTGAGAGCGGCAAACTGGCGTGTGCTTCTTCATGTGGTCGTCAAAACAATCTCTCTATAATAGCATTTTTTGCTTCGTGGGGCAAACATTTTGAGTGCAACTTGCTGACACGCCATTAACGAAACTCTATTTCAAAAATTCAATTGTACTGCAAATATTATTTTGTTCCAGTATGTCGGAGTGAGGCAGGATTCAATGTACTTAATGCAAATTGGCCTGAGTTTTAATGAAATGTCTTCAGTGTTGATATATGAAGCTTACTTTTGTATTCGAGTATTGAGCGAGTATTGAGCGAATTAATGAACTGATGGCAAATATCAACTCATTATATTCTTGATTGCGTTGTAGCCGAAATTAGCATGAAGGAGGCTCGGTATAATTATTATGGCAGTTTAACAAAGTTTTGATTTAATTAATATAATCTCGTGACTAATTTCAGTGTTCGTGTGAATTTTCGTCGACCAAAGCTATAACAGTTACGAAGTCTCAATAAACGCTCAAAATCGTCTTGCCGCTAGATATGTTTGTGCTATTGAGTTAAAAGACAAAATGACGAAACATCTCTTACTTGTGTCCATCGTTCGATTAAATAATTCTTCGCCTATAATTAAACTGATCAATAACGTACGTATATATTCGCCTACATCGTTACGTAGTAAGTGACCTGGTTAAAATTATTTTGTAATTAATTTCGAAAAGGTCAAATGTGCCCCAATGAATAATTATTTGTGCCCTAATGAACAACTTTCTTTGTTCACGTTATATCTGATTTTTAAATATTATGTTTTACTTTTAGCTCATAATACCGTCAGTGTAAATGATTGAACTGGTTAGAAATTAAGTTCTAAAGATTCAATGCTTATTTAAAGAATCAAGGTTCGTTATAATCATATTTAACCAATGTTTAATAGGATACAATGTTTAAACATTGGTTCCTATTAACCAATTGTTTTTTTGTTTAAATTTTAATTTTTTTTTTTGTTTAAAACCAATTTTTGTTTAAAACCAATTGTTTAACCAATATTTAATAGGAATAAAAATCTATGTGATATTTGATATCTATATTCTATGCATGAATGGACTTGTCTAAGAATGATCATAGCAATTGTGTTATCAACTGTGATTAAGTTAATGTGAAACTATTTTGAAGTCATTTGGTATATGACGTTTGTAAATTTGAATTTTTAAATTTGGCATTTAATTCAATTATCGCTCGGATCAATTTTTCTGCTTTCATGTCCAAATTTCACACTCACAACCTATAGTACTTTCTCATTCTTTCGCTTAAACTCTTATGAAGTACTTAGAATTTGTAGATACATATATAGACTTTAGTTAAAACAGTCGCTTCTTGTTTTATTCTCACATATTTAATTGTTTAAATGAATGAAACTCCATTTATACACTGTATAAAAAACTAAGCATCATGTACTGAAAGCTGAGCATTGCTAACTAGCAATATTTAAGGTAGTGAAATTTCTATCATAAAGTGATCACGTATGCAAAATTTCACCTAAAGTTGGACATGTTTTGTAAAAGCGCGTAAAGTTCATGTAATGAGAGGAAAAATTAGGCTCATAATCAGTCAAAAGCAGCCGAACTTATCTTAATTAATTGACTTTGCCGAAAGATTTAAACGAAAAAATACTTATTCAGATTAAAATTCGATACCAACTTTTTATGTTTTCTGGACGTTTCAGAAGATTCTCTATCGATTAGTTCGATCGAGAAGTGAACTTTTCTGCGACCCGAATATGTTGATGCGACGAAATTTTTCTAAGTAAATATAAAAATTTTATATGTAAAATTAAAAGTTTTCTCGACATTTCAGATGATTTGCAGCCTTATATTTTTTTTAACCTGGTCCGCCGGACCGGTCCGGGTCCGGGTTTTAGTCACTCGGTCCGGGTCCGGCGGACCGGTCCGGGTCCGGGTTTTAGTCAGTACCATGATACAGAACAGAAATGATACAGAAACCTGAATCAATTTAGTTAGTCTCTTTGGTCTTATGGGCTTGGAATAAGAGATACGAAGAGCACGAGGTACGGCACTTACCTTTGTTTACGGCGAGGCTGATTATAGAGCAGGCTTTAGAAGCGCAGGAGGTAAGCAAAAGCAAGCTATGACCAACGGGGCTAGAGTGAGCAGGTTAAACTATACAGCATCGGCATGTGGGGCGTTACGTACAAATGCAACATACACTATTATTATGTCTATATAGGATAGTTATTTCTCAATGGCGCCTCGTCTGTGTACAAAATATGCGGAGACAATCATCGGATAAGGATTGTGAAAATCTCACACGATCACTCATCACGGAAAGAATTGCGCTGCATGAATGTTAACCGAGCTATTTAATTGCATTAGTTTTGAACTATGTCTCTTTTCACGAGCCGACAGTTAAAGAAACTTTATGATGAATAAACGCCATCGATAACATGAAGGTGTAATCCGACCGAGCAAACTTGTTCGCGGATCACTTGCGGGAGGCAGAAGGAGTCCGGAAATAAATTAGGATGCGCAAATAAAATATTGCGCATCCGCAGACAACAATATTATCAACTCTGGCTAATTTTGGCTACGGAAAACAAAAAAAAATTATTTCTGAAATAGATTCAACTGAGCCAATCTGCTAGGATATCTTGGCTGATTTAATTGTTATTTAAACTGATAATTGAATCGAAGGGAAGCTAGATATAAGGAACCAGGACACCAGTTCGCAGCGTCCCATCGGTGAATAATATAACCGGCTATTACTACGAACCAATGATTTCCGTATAAATTTTTTGATAAAATTATTTACACTTAACGTGGAAATATGGAAAATTTTTTGGCCGGGTCTTCAGGATTTTGCAGTTTTAAATTAACTAATCAGAAAAAAATTAGCGATCAGAGCCGAGAGACGTTATGATGCCGCAGTTGCCAGACTATGCCTACCCTAAGTGCAGTAATTGAATAGCATATACCAGACTACCGTATCAACGGGATCGCATGCGTGCGCCAGAGCAGGTGGGTATAGGCAACAGTTTGTGGCGTGCACGCGTTACCATGGCTACAGCGTTACAAACCTTGCCTCAACGCAAATAAGTTACTCTTGAATAAAACTTATTATTTTGGGTAATAGTAACAGCGTTACGAATGGTTAATATTGTTGCATCATAAATAATTAAAGAAACAAGGTGAATATTGCGTCCCACGTTAGCTTTGGCGAAACTTTCTGGTAGGAGTTCGTGGGTATCAAATTAATCAGGAAAGTACTATAACAGTGATATAAAAATTACTGTTCAAATCTATTGATTGGATTGATTAGTATTTAAATATTTATGAAGTGGACATTTAAATCTCCAGCAGTAAACGGAAATGTTTGAATTCTCCCAACCTGTAGAAGTGCAAAAAAAATTCGCCAGAGCCAAAGGTTTAGGTAGGTTTTTAGTGGTAAAGTTTCTTGCCGGTTATGTAGTATGAAAGCAATTAGTTAACTGTGAACCATAGCTGGATTATAACCGACCGACCCCCCGGCAAGACCCTGGGGAGGGACCCCCGCCAAGACCCTGAGGAGGGACCCCCGCCAAGACCCTGAGGAGGGACCCCCGCCAAGACCCTGAGGAGGGACCCCCGCCAAGACCCTGAGGAGGGACTCCGCCAAGACCCTGAGGAGGGACCTCCGCCAAGACCCTGAGGAGGGACCTCCACCAAGACCCAGAAGAGGCAGTAGAGAGAGCGGGACTCACCCCAGCAGTTATGTAGAAGGGTTGCAGCCGCACGGGTGGCCGTGGTTTTGTCACGCTGCTCGTTATTTGCACAATGCTAGCTATTATGTAAAGCACTGCAAACAGGGCCGTTAGAATGAGCTCCTGCGACAGACAACACGAGTTAGGAATTAGCTCAAACATAAGATGAGGTTGCAGATGAACATTTTACTGCTCGATCAATTTCAAAACTATGGTAAGAATAAAATTCTAAACAAGAACACGGGCAAGTGAAGGTTAACTCTAATCATTGTCAACACTCTTTAAATAGAAACGTTGCCTGCTTCACAAGACTGTTCATCGCCAGGGATTTATGTCCATTTATTGGCCTTGTTAAATCATTTACTGGGATTAATGGAGATTTTCGAAAGATTGGCAATCTCGGAAAAATTTTGAGGATAAAGCAGGGATTATCATGTGAGTAAAACTAGAAAAAAACAACGAAATTTGATTTTATTCTGGATGCAAAATTGTAATTCAAATTAAAAAACTTTTCATAAACAATGGAGAAAATAAAAGCTTACTGAATGTGATAATTAATATATTGAGAATATTTCTATATTAGAAGGATACAGTTTGATGAGTCAAATTCACGCTTCACCAGAAGTATATTAAGCAGCGGTCCCTACATCAAGTTTGAGTTTTCATTGTGGTCAAAGTTTTTGCTTACTCGGGAAAATGTCGCAAGTAAAGTCGTAGTGAGAGCGAGAGAATACAACGAAATCTTTTGGTGGCTTTGAATGTACAAATCGTCGTAATTACTTAGACGGAAGTTGAAAGGAAATAGAAAATAACTCAAATCAGAGTAATTGTCTACGAGTTTATGGAAGATAATTTCACGAAAAGAGAAGAATGACATGTTAAGTGAAAATATATAAGCAAATAAGCGTGCCTAACTTACATCGGTGTTCCGAGAGATGGAAAAGGCTTTAGCTAGAAAGCCAACGCGGAATAGATTACTCCATCAGCTGTAAATACATACGTACGGACATCATGCACATGATTAGTCAAATTCGCATGTCCAACTACATGTTAGTTTCCGTCCAATTTTATCAAGAGTCTTACTGAGAAGTTGAAAAAATCACTTAAATTGTTTTGAATTCATTTTTGTAGCCATTTTTCGCGAAACTCATAGAAATTGCATTCGATTTACAAAATGTATATTAATGATATATACTGGTAGTAACGAAAAAATATTTAGGGATTATAAAAAGCAAACAAAACATTGAGCAACCACATCTCTTACCTCAAAGTTGACATGATGTAGCTCACAAATATTTCGACAAAAAATCCCTTATTTTTGAAAACTGACCAGAATTAGGTTTTTCAGAATAATTTCAGGCTCCGAAGATGATAATGACTGCTAGTGAAGATTGTTAATGTGCGGATATGAAAGGTACCGAGAATTCAGTGAGAATGGACGTTAGGATTAAGAAAGATCTAAAAGGTATCTAATATAAATTAGAAGCCAGAATGAAATCCTTTCAACAGAAATGAACGTGAAAAGGCGAAAAAATGCTTGCATGTATTATAAATAATATTAGTGATGGTGCTCTCATTGTTATTGTTGTGGGAGCTTATAGCGCTAGTGAAAGGTAGCCGTGAACGGATGAAGGAAAGAACGAGCGGAAAAAAAAACTTAGGAAGCATTTTTTGTGGACATTAATTAACATCGTCTGCTGTGACTTAAACTGGCTTAAGGCCAACAACTTCATGTGACCAGAACATTATTTCGCTGAACACATTATTATTAGAACAAATACCGTATTCATGAAAATTTCTACAGGTAACCATTGAACTCGAAATGTAATGTGTTGTTAGATGCAGCGTTATGTTTAATTACACTGATTAATTAATGATTGCATATGACAGGAATTTGTGCAGGGCGATTGGCTTAAAAAGGCAAAGAAGATGTACAGTCACATGAAATAAGTCAGGAAAGAAGTTGTGATGTCAGAAAGGAAGAAACATTTCATAAAAAAATTATAAATGACGTCAGAAAAAGTGAAACTATAAGTCGTGTCTGGGATTTTGTTTGCATTGCCAAACAGTGATGAAAGGAATTTCAAGATAATAAAATAATTAATTGATTATACACAATTTACACGATAACGTGAACATAACAGAAAATTTATATAATCAACATTGTTTTAAATAGAAAACATTTAAGCTTATTCTACAATCTACATTTTGCAACAATTTGTTCGTATCAAGTTTCATAAACTTTGCAATAGAAATGTTCACTCCCAGAAACACGTAAAATATCACAAAGAAATTTCAAAATTATCTTTTCATCCTGCTTATACTTTATGAGCAGCTAATTAGAAACTTGAGCTAGTAAGAACAGTAACAAAATATTCCAAAATTTGTCAATGGCGTGAGATCGATTAAGTTTCGAAAGTAAACCTATAAAACGTTACAACAAAAAATAATGACTTGTAATGAAAACCATTCTGGGGGCGAAAAAAAACGACATATTTCACTTACTGGTGGACTATGATTAATCTAAATGATTGCAGTGGCAATTGAAATCTTAATATATATGTAATTCAAAGAAGGAAAACATAAGATAATTTAAACAAGAACCTGGATATATTTGCTGAGAATGAGCACCAAGTATTCATAATACGAAAGCCAACGATACAATTCATAAATTAACATTCTCAATTTCACACGCAGTTCATTTAAAGCGCTAATTAATTTCCCTGTAACTAGTAATTCATATGTGGGTTGGAAATTAAAATCTGCGTTATTTGTAAATGAAATTTGTTTTTGAATGGAACTCATGCAGGGGTTTACCGTGAGGAGCCAGTCAATGGGCAGGTTGATGGCCTCCCTGAGGCTGAGGAGGTAGATGAAGCACCACAGCGACGTGGCAACGAACGCCGTCACCACCACGAACAGAAACCAGTGCGTGCCATTCGTCCACGCAGGCGCCGCGCACGCCATGCACAGGATCGCGATGAACTGAAAAATGTCAAGCGTTAAACGTTGATCATGAAATATTACAGAAAATAACATCACAGAATTGTGCGCAGTTATTTATGACAGGCTGATGAAAGTTGTAGTTCAGCGCCTCTCTTGATTAAAGTTCAGAGTACCAAGATTTGCGCAGAGAGACGCGGGTTCGATCCCCGCTCTGTGCGCCAGTTTCTGGTCAGCGTTGGCAAGGAGGCCGGGCGATTAAGGGGAGCGTCTAGGGTAAAATTTATCTCTGCTATTCACAGACGGATCACTCTGAAACTTGGTACACATATGTAAAACAGAATTCTAAGACATTTTTGTTCGTGTGAATTTTTCGAAAAAAATGAAAGAAAACGTGAAATTCTTAGAAAACGGCCAAAAAAGAGGGTGCTGTAGAAATCTATCTCCTCCTAGGATTTTCAAGCTACAACATCGAGACACATATCATTCGATGCGTAAAAACCATATCTACAAACTTCACTTAGCGGTTTTTTGGATTTCTCATTTTTGTGGGTGTGGGAGCATTTTTTCCGATATTTTTCGAAATTTTTCGATTTTACCCCCGCCCTCCCCCACTTTTTGCAAAATAAAATCCGAACTATAGCGAAATTGGAAAAACGACAAAGTGACTTTTGTAGATCTTTCATTTTCTAATCGAATGGTATATGTCTCATTGATGTAGCTTAAAAACTCTAGGAGGAGATAGGTTTGCAGTGACAATAAGTTAACTTTTCAGTAGAGCCCTTCAAAGTCCCGCGCGCATCAGAATAGGCACTCAATGTAGCAAGGATACGAAACTAAACGTTACTGGAGCTTGATTCCAGTCAAGGATGGTGGGAGCGACTGCATGCACACCTCCTCATACGACGCCAGGCGGGTAACTAAGATGCACTTCAAGCAGACACTCTATTTAAAGTGCTCGCAGCGAATTTCCTCCCATTCAATTTGTTAAAGAACACGGGATTTGAAAGTTCGAATATAAGGTTTCCAAATGACATTTTTATTTCACTTTACGACGTTTCGAATAATCCATATTCATTATCAAGTAAATGAAGTGTTTTACAACGCTTGAAATTGAAATTTTAGAATGACAATAGTACGTACAAAGGGTATAGTGGATACAACACAAAATTGAAACTTAAAATTACTCCGAAAACAACTTCAATGTCCTGACGGATCCGGTAGTTTGTAGATTGATAGCTGGGGACTCTTCCCTGATGATGAGAGCCTCAGCTATCGTCAGTCTTGCAGCGTCGGGGCACCGCATAATGATGCTCGTGCCGGCTTCCAGTGCCGCGCGGGTGATGGTCTCCCCGTGGACATCCCTCATGTGGTTCTTCGGGCCTCCGGTCTGGAGATGGCACGTGAGGCGGCGGCTCAAGGTAGTAGTGGTCAATCCAATGTAGTTTACATTTTTTAGAAGTCTACAACCTTCTATTTTGCAGGAAAATTTGTAAACAACGTTGGTTTCTTGGAGAGGTCCTGATTTTTTACATGGATTATTTTTCATAATGAGGTTCTTGATTTTCTGGTTTTTATAGTAAATCAAGAGTTTAATCCGTCCTCTAACGGAAAGTAAATGTGTTATCATTTACTTGATAATGAATATGGATTATTCGAAACGTCGTAAAGTGAAATAAAAATGTCATTTGGAAACCTTATATTCGAACTTTCAAATCCCGCAAAAAGCCTGGTTCGCAGCATCGAGAAGATTAATAAGAAGATCGTTAATAAGAAATACTCTCTGGTCTTTAATAGAACTTGCATATATATATATGTATATGTATGAGCAACTTGAAAGTTACTGATGTTTCTACATCACCACAAATCAACTTATTGCTTATTTTCCCCTATAAGTTCAATAAAGTCCTTCTTTCTGAAGAAATTTTGAAGAAAAATAAATAATAGGGGCATTTTGGTTTCATATCTTGGCGAAGAAAATTTGTTTTTCCCGAGATATCATAACAGAAAAGTGATAGTCATGTTCCCTGCTGTATGTGCTCAGGTGCAACAAATATTTTCGATTGAAACTGACACGATTTGCACCCAAAAACCGCGCAACTGAACACGTCGTCCTCATAAACTACATTTAAACGCAGGTCTCGCCTCCCCGTACGTGAACTGGCTCTGCGAGCGAGTAAGAACTGTTTGGACCCAGGCGGTTGATTGTACGGGCAATTGAAGCATAGACGCGAACCTTCCCTTCCTGTAACAGTGCGGTCACTTGAAACATAGACGCGACGCGAAACTCTCCCTTTGTAATCGTGAGGTCACTTAATACAGCGACGCAAACTTTCCAAACAATGAACGTACGGTCACTTGATACAGAGACCCGAACTCCCCCTCCTGTATCTCCAATTACAAGTTTTTGGTCACTTGATTTCCTGAATCATTAGGTTCTGCTAACAACGCAAAAATTAAGTTTTAAAATCATTATCAATCTAAGGAAAAAACTACGTCAAACAACATAGTTTTAAAAGAAATCAGAATCCTGAGATATAAGAGCAGGCAAAATGTTTTTCCTTCGACTAATAAGGGTAAATAGATCACCATCCAAAAAATACATGCGTAAATCATTACTGAAGTGCAGTAGTTACAAGACTACTGCACTTCACTTATATATAGTATAGAAAATTATTTACTTTAGTAAATATTTACAAAAGTTGACACTAATCAACCGCAATTAACAAACAAGCTATTTTACAACATTGAAGTTGGGTTCTTCAATTAGAGACAAAATTTTTAATGTGGTAAAAACAATTCCAAAGCTAGGCCCGACTCTCACAATCTGGGGTTTCACGGCAACGGTTGCCAGGAGAGGAGGATGCATGTTGAACATTGCATTCGCCTGAGAATTTGCGCTACGGCGATTATTTCCCATGCATCCGGTCGCTGGTCAGGTCAACGGGACCGTGAGCACCTCAGTTTGCACGGTCACGTCAATCATTCCGCTGTTCAGCTGTGCACAATGCACGGCTATACGAGGCTACGTTTACTGCAGTGCATGCTAATGTTACCAGGGTGATACTGTTCAGAGTTGAATTGCTGTACATCGGTGGTTACGGCAAGCGCACATTTTAGTTCGTCTTTATTCAGTACCGTTTACTGAAAGTTACTCCAAAGAAGTAGGCAAGTTCGGATGAAAAGATCATTTTGTGTTATTCGTGGCTTGCGACTGGTGCGACGGCGTGGTGCCCGAACTGTTTGGTAAGGATCTATTAATTGTAAATTTGAATGCTTATTTTGAATTATTGCAAAGTTGAATCACTAGTTCTTCATTCTTGCTGTACATTTGTTATTTTATTTTGTTTTCAGAAACCGTTTGCGGTATGGTTAATAAATGTGGATAAACGTAAATGTTAATCATCTTGCGACGTGTCATATCGAACGTTATGGGTTACTGGAAAAGAAAGGTGACCGCCAAATTAATGCTACCGTAGAGGTCATCTTTAGTTACTAAACGACCAGATACGATGCACAGAGCTCGAAATAACAGAGCTTGCAATAGTTTAAATGGAGCGCGAATTAAAAATTGTATTGAAGCAAGAGTCAAAATTCAACAGGACAGTAATTAAATGACGACATTCATACGGAAAGGACAATTTTGTGTTAACCAAACGCAGTGCAGTGAAAGACCTGAGCGGCAACAGGCTAATAGCAGCTGAGGACCTGCTATTATCACCACAATTAATATAGACCTCACCACAAATATCGATGTGGTGAGGTCTATATTGTAGACCTCACCACATCGATTAGAAACTAACGAAGTTATAAATTTAAGGGTGGTGGCACTACGTTAAAAATAGTATACATCAAGTAGGGTACAGCGTGTGAATGAAATCACGCTGATTTCGAATCATATGATTTTCATACATTTGAAATTTGCAGTTAGCCCGTTTAATTATCGGACCTAATTATGTGATGCGTGTTTAAGAGCAAAGCTCGCACCTCTGGATGATACACGCTGGAGGGTATCTTCCTACGCTTGTGTTGTGCGTCAACAAGCGCATAGCTGGAGCGCACCTACGCGCAGTAGCGTCCACCCACGCTCTAGACATCAACTTGATTAAATATTGATGAATGATGGATTTTTAAATGAAGACGTGGATGGATACGGAATAATTCTTTCGTAAAACACAGGACTACATTTCATTTATTATATCGAAGCTAGTGTGATACTCATAGGTAGACAATATTCTTGTTAATGAAGGCTTTTTCACCCACATCGATCCATATTCTGTTAGGAATATGATTATTATTATGGACATCAATTGTAGCCCGTCTTGATTAATACTAAAAAATCTTGCTAAGAAAAACCAATTGCACTAATTTCCGCTGAAAAATTGCGCAATTAAAAAGAACTAAGTAAATATTCAAAAATTGCACACATCAGAAATTACGTAACATCAATGACAGAAATATTATGTTTTGGTGCTGTTTTCCAACAGACCTTTAAAAAATAATAATGTTTAGAAATACAGACGTTATTATGCTATAAAATATCATTTACCATGGGCATTTATATACTCAGAAGTCGGGCGGTCATAAGGCATCTCATTGTTATCGAAATTAAGACGCATTGCAGGGTAAATTTTCTGAAAAATCGGCCTTCGGAGAGCGAAGTAAAATGTTAATTAGTACGTCATAGCAATTGTACAGTTGAATGCGTCAAAACTGAGGGCGAGTACTTGGATACGTGTACTCAGAAGATGAGTAGGGGGATACGTGTACTCAGAAGATGAGTAGCTGGATACGTGTACTCAGAAGATGAGTAGCTGGATACGTGTACTCAGAAGATGAGTAGCTGGATACGTGTACTCAGAAGATGAGTACTACTTGGATACGTGTACTCAGAAGATGAGTAGAGTAGCTGGATACGTTTACTCAGATGATGAGTAGCTGGATACGTGTACTCAGAAGATGAGTAGCTGGATACGTGTACTCAGAAGATGAGTACTTGGATACGTGTACTCAGAAGATGAGTAGCTGGATACGTGTACTCA